AAAGAATAGGAGAGTAGTTAGAGCCTAAATCTATCTGTAACACAGACACATACAGATTTAATCACAACCTTTTTAACACTACCGGGGAATATAAGTTATCTGTCTGGGCTTCCTCAGTTAATAGGGAAGAAGTGAAACTTTTTAAGGGAGATTCTCTTCTATTCTAAGGAAAAAATCCCTCAGGTAGTTGGGATGAATGCCTTCTGAAAGGGTTCCTTTATATTGAACTTAAATAACTGTTGTGGGTGAGACATCTCATTTCAGCAAGTTCAACAAATCCTCCTCAAAGAACTTTGGTATGATATGAATGTCTAAGGTTGAAGGGTAGGGCTTTGGGAGAGCATTCTTTGTTAACTCTTTAGTGTGTGTGTGTGTCCCTTGAAATTAGAACAGAAAGATAATTTAAAAATAGTAACAACAAATTAAATACATGTTAAGAATTGAAATCTTCTTCTGCACTTGTTGAGAAATAATGCTTCTTTCCTGTAAGACATGGAGATCTGGGGCTACAAAGCAATGGATCAGTAGCCCCTTACAGCTAACATCTATTGTATTCTATTTACTTATTTTTGAAATTTGGGTAAGGACATAGGAAAGAAAATTTGTCTCTGAGCTTAACTTAATTCTTTTAAATTGCATGAATATTTAAGAGAAAAAAAAATTATTTTAAAAATTGTAATACCTGAGGGATATTAACAAGGCGAGGTAATAATGTCCTCAAGCCTTCAAGGGTACAAAATAAGATGTAGATAGTCTTTGTCTGTGAGAAGTTACCAGAAGCTGCAGTGAGGGAATGACTGAAATGAGGCATAGAGTCATGGAATCAGAGAGTTCTAAAGACCAGGAAAGGACCTCTAAGATCATCAAGTCCATCTGTTAAATAAAATTATAAAGGCAGTGACTTTGTCAGTGAGACATGATTTGAGACCATCATTTTTAGTAATCAGTAGCATAATAACTTCCCAGGCTCATATTTTGAAGGATTTTTTTTCTTTTTTTTTTTTGGAAAGGGAGTCAGGAAAAGCTCAGGAAGTCCTCCAAAAAATGAGGAGGCCCCTCAGCATGTCTAGACAAACACAAACACAAACATGTGGTTCACATGGATCAACAGAAATAAAGTCATGACTATACATATATGTGTGTATAGAATAAATGTCCAAGAAAAAAAGTTTTTATTGTATTGTCTACTGTGCCTGGATAACCAGTACCACTGGAAAGTTTTGTTAAATTCTTTTCTTCTGTATAGTGCTGTTTTTCAGTGAAATCAAAGATACAAATGAAGCATAATAGTTCTGGTCATTCTGCTCTTAGGCAGATCAAAAACTTACTTGGAATCTTTACAGGTATTTCACTGGTCATTCTATTTGAGTGCACAACTAAGCTTTATGTTCATATTAGCAAACAGGGAATAAAAAAGAAACTTTAGATTTGCTAATTGGAAGTTGTCATGCCTTTAATAACTTGAGTGACTAACTCAAGACAATTTCCTCTCTTGCAGGAAGATTAATGTACAATCCCTTCTAAGGTGGTAAATCTTATCTGTTGGATTCCCATTTTTACAAAAATGAACAAAATGCTCTTCTAGCTGTGACTTCAGATATGTTGTAAAAGATAATCTTTCAAGACAATAGTAGATTATTATCAGCCAAGCAGGGAGCTCCAAGGCACTAGAGTGCATATTTTAGAATGTTTATGGAAAAACTTCCCACAGATTTAACTTCAAAAATCCATTCTCAGTGCTAAAAGTAGTTATATGTATAGAGAGATGTGCATATATGAGAGATATAATGCATAATTGAATCAGTGATTCTCCGATTTCCTTTATATTATAGCTGAAATGAGGTGTTTGTGTATTCCTGTCATTTCTTGTATGTATTTGTTGGTCTAAGGTTTACTCTGGGTAACACTATACTTAAAGCAAACACTTCAGTCCACATTCTGAACCTGTATGTTAACTCCATGTGGTTTCAGCTTCCACCCTTTAACAACAAATTACTATGTATGTAAGCTGTCAAATCCACATCGGACAGGCAGCTGCAGAAGAAGAAACTAAAGCCTATAAACCAGAGCAAGAAGCGTAAGGCTCCCATAAGAGACTAGTCTTTCCCTTTCTGTATATAGCTCAATAAGAGTAAATTATTCATTACAATCAAGCTAAAGCTCCTCCAGTCTTACCATCCACAAATTTGTTGAAAAATTAAAGCTCAGCGTGAAGCCTCCAGAGAATTATTCTGAGTTAGTAACACCTGCAAAGAACAGAGATTTCACTGTGGGGTAAATTGCTGTGTGATTGCCCACACGTCAGCAAAACTTATAATTGGGAGAACCTGAATATTTTCTCTGTATTTGACTGATGAGGATTTTGTGGGGTGTCATGTTACGTTAAGTAGTAGAGTTGTGATTTAGAGTGTTTCACAGCAACTGATTGTGTTTGTTTTAACAACAATTTTTGTATTCTATGAGATTTCTATTGCTGTCAGCTGTTATTGCAACTTTATGAAATACATATTTAAAAACCTTTCTTATTCTTAGGGAAAATTGTCAGAGACAGGCTTTAAACTGTGGAATTTTCTTCCTGCGATTTCTTGTGAATTTAGAGGTTGATACCTTCCCCTGCTTGGCTGTATCTCATAAACGGCAAGCTAAGTGAGGATTTTGATCTCTATATCTGTAGCATATGTACACTCAGCAGCTCCCCGGACAGCAGTGGAAACTACCTAAAGCAGATTTTTGTTTCTTCCAGATGTTTCAGAAATATGCTCATAAATGGTGGAGCTCCTAAATCAAATTGGACATTATTAACTATCCAAAAAAAGGACAGAGAAAGAAAAAAGTCAAATTGCACTGCATTGTTACATGCTGAGGTCTTATTTTCTGCATTTTCCACAAGTCCTATATCAATTCACAACCTAAGTTTGGAGCAGAATTTAGGCTTCTGGCTAATGTTGGTAATAACAGCTCCAACACGAAATGAATAAAGCTCATAAAATTCAAGACAGGCCTATGTGGAGATCCTCAGACAGACTCTTCACCTGTCCTCTGAAGGGAACCAGCTCTGTCCCACAGTGCTGTCCTTGCTAGCAGGAGGGAGCACTGAGCTCAGTGGGTTGCTCAGGGACTTGGTGCTGGTTCCTGCAGGTTGGCATGCTGGCACAACTGGATGTGCCTGCTGCACAGGGACTGCCTGCCCTCTGCCTGCTCAGCTCTGGACAGATGTACTTTTGTGGCTCTCAGAGTTGTGTGACCTCATTTAAATGACAATACACAATTTGCTTTCATGGCTGGAATGCCTGAACCTAATTTGGCAGCAAACTCTTTGCATTAGAGAACACGCACTGAATGGAACCTGCTGGTACAGTTTTCTGTCCTTCCCTTATTAATATCTTGCCACCCTTCTACCTTTCGTTCCTTTCAGGGAATATTGAAGTGCTTGCTTCACTGAACTCAGACTTATAGCTGCTGGATTGTTTGGTTTTGGTTTTTTGGTTTTTTTTTTCATTTCTTATTCCTCTTTTTTCCAGTTGTGACAGAAAAACCCCACAACTGATTAAATACTAAGGAGAAAGGGACATATCTAACAGAGTGACAACTGCTTTCATATGTGTACTTTTAGTGCAGTGAAACTTTCCTCAGGGAATTCCTTTTATATACCTTTTACAGTTCCTGAAACAAAATATCCTTGGTGCCAAAGGCAAGGAACTCATAACTACATGAATGTGTTAGACAATAATATCTAGTGGGTACTCCTGCTGTACATAATAGCTGAGCTATTCTGACTGCAACACAACTAAGGGCTAATGTAACACAGGTTTATTTCCTTGGATGGGAAAGGAACATGGGATGTATTAAAAAATAATTTGCTGGGCAAGATGAAGCTTTTCAGGCTCGTGTAGTCCTACTGCCTGCTCCAGAGGTTGCTGAGAAATGTAGTAAAACACCAAATCCCTACTGACTGACTAATCTTACTTTTCCACAACACTTCAAAGTATTTCCCTTTTTCACTTTGAAACAGAGCTGCAGTAAGTGGCTTCCAGCACAGAATTGTCTGTGAAAGTCCTGCCGTGGGCTCTAGCTTCACGCTTGTAATCTCCATGTCACTGATCATGGATCATCCTATACTTTACCTCAGCTATTTGGAGGGTTAGAGGAAGACCTGGTGTTTGGCTCAGGGCTCTAGGGAAGAGGAGAGGAAGCAGGTGTATTGCATAAACAAACCTCCATGTGTCAACATCCATGTGCTTGTCCGAGGAATTTATCTGCTCCAGCTGTGCTGCTTGAAGAGGGAATCTTTCAGTATATATTTATCTGACATATTATGTGTCTGAAACATGCTGTCAGTTTCTTTCAGAGAGGAACTTTGTAGCATGGGGAATGTGATTATGAGGAGGATCTAGCATCACCATAGTTTCTCACAGTAGGAACCAAAGTACCAATTAACAGCAGCTGATTGGGCTAGGTGCCACGCAGTGCTAGTTAACCCCTGTCCAAGAGGAAAGGGAAGGACACAAGGAGCTGGCTGTCATTTTACAGAGAAGAAAACCAATGCACTGAAAATAAGTGTGTCAAGAAAGCCAGTGGAAAATAAGAGGAGCGAAAGTGGAAATCTGAAATAGATTTGTTGTCCACGTTTAGTCCATTTTTGTCTTGTGTCATATATGAACTTTTATGGCTTCAAAGCTGTTATTTTCAAACTGTGACACCCATGTTAAAGACATCTGAAAGAAGGAAAAATAATGGCCAAAAATTAAATAAAGGGACTCAAGGTTTGCAAAACGAATTCAAACTTGCTACAGTTCAAATGGTTGGTTTTTTATTCCTGCTCTGTTACAGATAGGAACCTGAATTTAAATGCTTTTCTTTGAAATATGTTATGAACATGTCCACAATTTATGGAAATTTGTGTATAGGGAGTAATATCTATCTCAAGATCTTAACTATTGTTGGAATCTAAGTGTTGTAAAAACAGGTAACCAGACAAGAAAAAAAATCTCATTTTCTAGGTTGTCCTGGGGCCAAGAAGAATGAGTTCCTAACGAGTGTTTTGGATGCATTGTCCACAGATATGGTGCACGCAGTCTCTGATCCATCATTGTCTTCCAGCCGGTGGGTTTCAGATCTTTTTGTGTGTCTTTAAAAGGATTTTAACAGTGGTGAACAGATTGTTCAGGGCTTTGTGGAGCCTGCATAAAGGGTGAATTTCCAAGAACCTCTCTATGAGAGTTTACTTCAAAATTACCACTGTGGACTGTTCACTAAACAGAGATACACTTGACAGATGAATTCTCAGCAGCGTAGCTCAGGGTTTATCTGTAGCTGCTGGTGCAACTGTGTGTCAGTCTTTTGTTCTCCTCTCAAGGCTTTATTTCTTGAATGTAGGTACCTTCCTGCTTCATATTCTTCCTAGTTGCTTGCAAAACAAACCAATGCTATCAACAGTCACAGGTAGCGTTAAAAATGTGTAAGTGCTGTCAAACTTAGGGCGTCTGCAGGTCAGGTACTTATCTGAGGAGATAGCATTTATTTTTATAGCTTATCCTGTAATTCAATACATTTAGGTGTTGTAGCTCTAAGAGAATCCATCATGGGCTGTAATTAGAGCTTTGGTATTTGGCAGTGCTGGTTGTTGATCAAACTTCAGTTGGTTACTTCACACATTTAATGCATCTGCTGCCTATGAAACAGTCTTTTTCTCTTTTATTTCTCTCTCCATTTTTCTCTGATTTAGGAAATTTAAGGAGAAAGCACTGTTTGCAGAGTATGATGCTGAACTCAACAGGGTTTCAGAGAGTACACTAAAAGCAGATTCTAGCCCTTAGTGTAAATTTAGGATATTGTTGGCCAAAGTGAAAAAAGAGAGATTCACTACAAGTTAGTGTCCAAAACCAGGGAGTTTTAGATAACAATGGTGATGTTCATCTGATGGTGATAAAACAATTCTGAAATAAAGGTATTAAATATCAGAATTAAGACTAAATTCTCTTTTTTTTCTTGTTCCAGTGTTTCTGAGCCTGATCCAAATCATACTCTGGAAGAGAGAGTCGTCCATTGGTATTTCAAACAGCTCGATAAAAATTCCAGTGGTGATATCGGCAAGAAGGAAATCAAGCCATTTAAGAGATTCCTAAGAAAGAAATCAAAGCCCAAAAAATGTGTGAAGAAGTTTGTGGAATACTGTGATGTGAACAACGATAAGTCCTTGTCGGTTCAAGAATTAATGGGCTGCTTGGGAGTAACAAAAGAAGAAGGTAAAGCAGAAACAAAGAAACGCCATAGTAAGAACTTTTTCTCTCTGTCTTTTTCACTAAATTCTTCAAAGCTTACGAAGCCTGATATTTATATGTGCCAGAGTTATACAAAATACACCTGTCTGCAGCTAATGCAGCTGTTGCTTAGGACAGATGGCAAGAAAGTGGCTTCTGGATCACTTTGCTCCAACAGAATCAAAAACTTCCCATTGATTCTAGCCATTGAATGTATTATGGTAGGAAACCTAAGAAGATATGATAACAATCATCAAAAAGCCAGTTTAGTGTTATTATAGAACTGTGTTCTGAGTGAGTGGAAGTATCACACCTGTGCTTTTTGGATTCCTGGAAGGAAGCACATGGTTGAGATTTCTAATGAAATCTCATTTCTCAAATGTAGTTTAGAGATGCAGAGAGGAATGTGATCATCTGCCAAACAGGTGGAATAACAGCTAATACACAGCCACCTTACCTTGCTGCCAAACATGTAGGAAGGGGAACAACTAACTTGCAGAGTGCAGTCACACAATTCCTGAAAATGAGAAAAAATTTAAAAAAAAAATTAGTTCTAAACAGCAGCAATAGATCCCCATGCTTTAAGAAGTTGTGAAAGAATGAATATAGGTAAATGGTTTTGTCTGGTACCTTAAAATGAAGTGAGGACAATGGAACAATGGTTTCATTGGTTGTATTCAAGTCTAGAAGAGGAATACTGCAGAAAGACAGAAGGGGTCTACATTTTACTAATGAAGTAAATTGTCTATGGCTCACAGTAACAGATCTCTCAAAACATGTATTGAGCAGATCCAGAATTTTTTTCCTGGGGCTTTTTTTGTGGACCTCATAATGGTACCTTCCAATTTTCACTTAGATGATGAAGGTTAAAAAAATGAATATGAAAGTGGATGAATTTTAGTATCTTTATGTTTATCTTTATCTATCTGACTTTTAGTCAGATAGATTTTTTATCTATGAATGTGGAAAGTGAAACAATTCTGTCCTACTGCAGCAGGCATTCTTTCTTAGGACTTGTGGATGAAATTTGGGTCCAAAATCACTACACAGTAAAGGAAAGCCATAGCCATAGCAAGACTGAAAACAAACCCCAGTTTTTTGTCTTCATATTCCAGTAGAAAACCCCCAAAATATTAGGATAAACTGTCTGTTTTGGAAATGAAAATTGCAAGAGGCATGAAATCATGTGAAGATCACACACAGATTTGGCTGAAGTAAAAATTGTGACTACCACAACCGAAGTTCTGTAACAGATATTCTGAAAAAAAATCTATTCAATAATGAGAACATTCAACTTTGGAAGGAAAAAAATCCCAGAAGTTTGGCATTGGAAAACTAATGGTATCCAGTTGGAAAAAAGTTCTTAACCAAATCATTGGGTTGCTTTACTAGAAGTACATAGTTTTAAGGACAGGACAATAAAAATTACTTTTGTTGGAATACCATTATTCTGTTTTGTTTCTTTTACTTGATAATTAAAAATTCCTTGCTGATACTTCTTTCACTTGCACAAATGAAAGCAATTACCACTTCACTGCAGTTAGAGTTACATCTCTAGGAAAATATGAGATTCTTGCCACTTGAGGTGTCAGAACTGAGCTAAGGAAGTGGTTCTGTATCTTTTCGTGTGAGTCTCAAGTTTCTTGTGTGAGAATAATTTGAAGCAATATAAAAGCCAGAGAGTTGTAAAGCATGCTTTCTGAAGGGGGTACTAGCTGCTGTAGCGTTTTTCAAGGTCCAGGTTTTTTTCCCTAAGTTCCAGTACAGCTTGTCTGACTCACAGACTGACATGGAAAACCAAGACAGCAAGTTCCTCCCTAGTCTCACAAGTTAGCTTGGGAAGATTAATGGGCTAGCAAATTCATTAGCTTTTTGGGGGTTTATTTTCCCCTATTTTGGGCACTCTCTTTGACTTTGAAACTAAGAAATTTTAAAAAACAGTGATAATCCTGTCCTTTTACAGATGCAATGTAAACAATGTTTTTGGTTTGTAGAACTGTTTCTGTGATACCTTTATCTTTTATCTATCTTTTTTTATCTTTTATATTTTGCTTTGTAGAACTGTTTCTGATATCTTTAATCAAAGTGAATGCTTTCCATACAGTCTGCTTGTCCGTGCTTCTTTGCTGCCAGGGATAATAGACTATATTTACTACTAAAGACCTAGTAAGCTTAAAATGTTCAACCTTGACTATATGCAATCTCCTAAGCAAATTTGACATGTTAACTGGCAAGAGATGCTGTTGTTCAACTTTCATATAACTCCTTGAAATAAGCAATATCTGTATTGAGGAAAGAAAAAAGTATCTGTGTCAATGAAAGGTCTGAAATATTTTATCTCATCTATTGAAAGCTGTGCACTTACCCTGCTCTAAAAAATAGCTTTTCAGAATGAGGGCTTCAGTTCTTGAGGATAACTTGCAAACCATATTTATAATGTTTTCTTTTCCTTCTTTTAGCGGTCCCTAGAACCAACACTGAGAGCACTTCATCCAGCAGGCAGGTGAGTACTGAGGGAGAGCAAGATCTCCATTTCTGCCTCTCCTGGATGAATTTCTTGGGGTTTTAGTCATCACTGCAGCTTCAAACTGCTCTAATCTGCTATTCTGCAGAGCTGCCAGAAAAATGCAGAGCAACATCCCAATTAAGTTCTGTGTCTGGAAAGCTAAATCAGTCAATTACAGGTGCAGAATAAATGCGCATAATTTGCAAAGTGGATTAGGCTTGCATGTGGAAGTTCCTAGGAAAGTGTAAGTTGACATATAGGACATATATGATAATTTGATGAGTGTAATTGAGCCCTCTTGAGTCTTCTGTATTCCTGAATGACAGCATTCCCATGCACTTTTAAATGTGCACTGCTTCATCTTCATTTAACTTTTACTTTAGCTGAATTCTGTCAATTTTCCTTTGTGTCACACTCTAAACACAAACTGACATTTATTGAAATGAACAAAGCCATGCATTTCCCATGCCCTGTGAAAATCTATACATTTCAGAAACCCCACTGCATTATTATATGATGGCTTAAAAACAGCTTTTAAAATCTTAGTGCAATGAAAAGAGCTGTCACTTTCAGATGCGTTTGCGGGCTGAGCAAAATATGCTGAAGAACTAGGATTTGCATCAGTCTAATCTGCATTTAAACTAAAATTGCAGAATTATTGGAAAAAATGAAATGTCAAGTGCCCTGACAACATAATCCAGAATTTTTTTTCAGTTTTCTGCAAAGACTTGATCTTAGCACCAATGTATGTCATCCATGGAGGTTTGGCTACTCAAGCTGTTCAGAGCTGCAAAAGGCACAAAAGCAGAGTTTTTTAACCCTTTAAAGAAAGGTGCACTGTAGGAGGGACTTCAGTGAAAGGCCAGGAAAATAGGTTAAAAAAGCGGGGTTTAATTTGTATGTGTCTATTTTTATAACCATTTATCCGAAAGACATTTTTTCTGGGCAATATTATTATACCTTCCTAGTACTTTTGCGTGGTCTTGAAAGAGGACTGGTGAGTCCAGTAGTTTGAATGGTCTAGCAAAAGAGTCATCTTCACACTATTCTTACACCTCATTGTATTAGTTAGAGGACTTAAATTGTTGGTGCCTACAAAAGCATCAGTAAATGATGAAATGGTTTAAAAATTATTCATGTAACTATATTATTAGAACACCTCAGGTAATCCTGCACCTAAAAAATTAGGAATTTGGCTAAAAATACCCCAAAACCCAAGTTGTTGTAAATGTCTTCCATCTATCATAAAGCTAGATTAATTTGTTAGAAACCGAACCTCAGGTGAACCTACCCACAAGCCAAGAGAAATCTTCCTCTCAAAGTTGCTCGTTGATTTGTTCCCTTTTTTTATCTCTGCTTTGTTTGATGTTAGGTTTGCACTTCTAAGGCTGGCTCAACATTGGTTGTGGTTTTTACCAGAGACCTCCTACATACTTTTGATGGAATAAAAAATGTTCTCACAGCTACAATAATGTGATAAGTTTGTTTGTTTAAACAAGTGTTTGTGGTCTTAATTTTTCAGGTTTTCCCCACAAATCACTTACACCTTAAACAAGACAGCCTGAAAACAATTATCCTTTCAGAACTCCAGAGTATTCAGAAGGGTTATTTTAATTATATAATGGCAATTACTGGCACACGTGCATTGCACTTGAAGCATGACAAGCCCTCTCCCCTTTCTTGTAATCTGATACAGACTTGTGGAATTGGAAATAAAAGTGTCCTTAGAACATCTATGTTTTTCAATTTTGACCAATAATTTTGCTGACTCAGCATCAATTATTTTAAGAGCTGTTGCTGACAAATGATAGCCTTACATTAAGGCTGGCTAAGCAAACCATCTGCTGGCAGTTTCATAGTTGAACAATACATGGCTGCAAATGCACAAGGTGGTTTTCATCAAAGAAGTTCTCACTTGAAAGGGAGCTACAGAAAAGCATAGAAGCTGCTCAAAGGAAACCACCCATCTGAGAAGGCCTGATCAGATTTGCACCACTCAGGAGACACACACTCAAATCCTTACTCTCTACTAATTTATTATTTAGCAGAAGTTTAGTTAAATATATGCTTATGTGTGCTTTGGCACATGTTTTTTCACGTTTGTTGAGAAAACAGCTTAATGAAAGAAAGCAGACAGAGAAACATACACTAATGTGCTAGCTGAGGCTCAGCTGTGGTTGCTCTCAAAAGGTAAAATTAGGGGATGGGTCTGACTGGACTCTGGTAGTGGCCAGGTACATTTCCCTTGCTCAGCTCCACCCTGTCCAGCAAACACACACATACATGCCCACACACTGTCAGTGTGGCTTTTTGCAGCCTAGCAAAAAGTTTGTAAGGAAACCACAGATTGTTTGTGAGACTTCAGCCAGCAGCCCGTTCCTTACATATCATATGCCATAGGAGGTATATTGAACCAGGGACTTGCTCAGGCAGCTGCTAAAACTGTATTTGACTGGTATGGATTTAAAGGGCCATAGGTAAGTAGTCAAGATATTGGTGATACCCTTGCTTGTAGATCCCATGAAGGACTATAGGGCAGGAATTTTTTCTATTCCCTATATATATTTATGCAGCACTCTCTTCTGATAGTGGAATATGGGTACTGCTGAAAAATAGAGATAGAATTTTATGCTGGACTAATTGAAAACACCATTAATAATGCAAATTTTCCCAACTTCCTTTCAGCAAGTTTCGAAGAAGCAAGGATGAACACCTTACTAATCCAAGGCTGATCTCTTTGACATGTGGGAGATTTCCTCACCAAAAGGCAATAAAAACAACTGTAGTATTTGCACTTTGTACTTAAAAATGTAAATTCACTTTGTAGAAATGAAATATTTAAACAGACTTTTTTTTTTTTTAATCTGTGAAAAAGTAATGGCTAGTTTTGAAAAATTATCACATACAATGTATGTGTATTCTTTTGTGGTCTGAAATATGTTAAACATGTTGGAGATGTAAAAGTTTGCATTTAAACCATTTTTTTAAAAAATAACTTTTTGGCAAACAGTAGCACAGAAACCTGATTCTATGTATTTTTGGTTTCAATAGTATGCCTTATTTTTCTTAATACTGTCATTTAAGTAGAGTTATGCTGGAAAATCTACTGTATTCTCAATTTTGTCCAAGCAGTGTTGAATGTTTCAGGTTTGCAGGACTGAGAGAATTGTGTAAATTGCTGTTTACTTGGTTTTGCAGTTTTTTACTGACCAGATATTTCATTGGTGGCAATATTTTTTTCATTTTGTTTTTATTGTAATTACTAGGCTTTCCAAAGATCATACAATGAGAATACAACCACTAATGGATTAAAAAAAAACAGTTATTCTACTTGGGATGCTTATAGAACAATGTATCCTTTTATCAATTTTTGAAGTGCCTTTATTAATAAGTTTTGGTAGGATTTTTCTCCTGTTTGCTTTCACTTGCATTGTTAACACAGCAAACCAAAAAGGAGTAAGGTAGAGAGTAGTGTCACTCCAGTCTGGTTCAGCCTGGGCCTTACAAGCATGTTTCCATGGTCAGTGCAAAAGCAGGAGCAGAGTTTGCATGGGCCAGAATTGGAAATCTTTCTATTGTGACAGGGAAGAATAAGCCTTTTTCCTCTACACCTGGCTACCCTAATCAACCCTTTGGCTTTGCCTGGGGACCCACTAGAGGAGGGGCTATTCACATTGCCTCTGCCTGAAGCTTTTGTTTTGCTGACTAAAGAAACTTCTCAAAAGTTTTCATACTTTCTCCATCATTTTTTCCCCTAATGCTTTTGTTCATATGTGTGTCTGAGGGGAATAACAACTTCTGGATGTGAGTCTAAAGAAGGGGACCTAAATGAAAAAAAGTTCTGCTCTTGAGCAACTGTGAGTTACAAGCAGCTGGGTTGATCGATGCAGTGGTAGAAGGACTACTGGCATCTAGGAGCTGACATGAGAAGGCAGGAATGTAGCAGCAAGCAGTGATTTCATTATGGTTTGTTTGAATAATGTGGAGAATTTGACATGTGACCAGCTATTTATAATAGCACCCTGCTTGAGTTTGTACCTGGAAAAGCTTTTTGTGAATCAAAAGGTGTCGTTTCAATTCCAAAATATTCTGAAGTAATAGGAATCACTGTATGCAATGGAGTGGTATCCCAGAAATTGTGTACTCTAAGCTCTGGCAACAGGAGAAACCAAGGCAACTGCGTGTTATCTTGTATTTTTGTTTTAAAAAGTATTCGTTATTCTTTTATAATGTTAAACTTTGAAATTAATCTTCTTTATAGATTAAAGATTAGTATGTTATCAAACTATGCTGATGTCTTTTCTTTTGCAACACAGAGAGACTTGTTTGGAAGTACATACACACAGTGATGACTTCACCACTGCTTTGAGTTTACAAGAAACCTCATGACCTCACATTGTGTCCGTCTACTTCCCTTGCCTTTATTGAATTCTCTTTTAAGATCATTCATGTCTTAGTCATACCATTGCTTCCTTGAATTCTCCATATAGCTTCAACCTAGTCTCTTGCTTCTTCTTAGCAAAGTGCAGTGTGCATAGATAGAGATGACACCTTTTCCCCTCCATGTGAGTGTGAGCTGCAGGGCAGCTTTCAGCCTGCCTGGAAGCAATGAGGAGAGAGATGCAAACCCTCAGAATTCATAATGCCTGGTTAAGTGTTCACAGTATGGTTAATAACAGCATTTTGTAAGAAGCATTTAATTCCATCACTTTGGCCTTTAGAGACAATATCAATGTAGGCTGCCAAATATTCTGCCATGTCCATGGTTTGAAAATGCACCCCATTTAAACTGAGAGGTTGTGTGGGGAGGCAGATTTGGACTAGCAACGTGATTATATAACGAGTAGCCTTAAACAGTGGTGGAAGTGCAGGTAAGTGCTAAAGGCATTTTTAGGTAGCCAAAGACTTCTACAACATAGAGTCATTTAATAACTCTACAACGACTGAAACATGAGGTGTTTCCTCTTTGTATGTATTTCTGTGTCATCACTTTCATGATTTATGTCAATTAACAGCCATTACACCACTTGAATATATGTAGTACTGACTTCTTATACTGCCAGCTAGAGTCCAGATCCCTAATGGAATCATACTTGCAAACTTGCTAAATTCACCTTGGCTTCCTGTATCTCCCATATGTCCACAGGAATATTTAAACTGAGATACATGTTCTATTTGTAACTAGAAACAGCCTTGAAAGGAATCCATGTGGATAGGCCCTTAGGCTCACACTACAGTGTTTATTTACACAGTAATTAATTAGTTCTAGTTTTTATCCTACTCCATGTGCAACAATTTAATTTCAAATTTAATCCTGTTGCTGAAAACAAAACTTATATTCTGCTTCTCATTGACCAGTATTTTTTCTAGTTCCAACTCTTGCTGAACATATTTGTTTAGAACTTTTATAAGGTTGTAAATAGAAGACTATAAAGTTTGAAAAATGTGTATGTATTCAGTGACTAGTTCAGCCTGTAGCAATGTCCATTAGTTAACAGGCCACACAGTGAGAAATGCTCCATATTTTGTCAACACTTTGGAAAACTTACTAATTTTCTTCCTATCCCTACATTTAGGGCAATTTCATAGTTTAATTTTTACTAAACCCACTTAATTGTCAGTCATTTCTCAGTCTAACAAAATACCTATCTTTCAGGTGCTCATTTTGTAGAATTGGGACCTTGATGAGTGCTCCAAATGACATTTTTTTCTTGATAATGTCATTTCAGATATTGAAAGACTAAAACAGAGAAACTTTAACAATAATCACTGCATATAACTAAAGGAATACACTGTAATTTTTATTTAGACCACACTTTTGCCCTTCATAAGTACCATAAGCCAGTGGAGAAAGCAGACATTCCTAGAAAGCTGGAAGGAAAATAAAAATACAGGTTGATTCATTAAAGATATTTAAGTGTTTCCAAGATTTGATAGATTTAATTAATATTTTCTTTTTATAGTAGTAATAGAAGATGGATTAATGGAGGTTAAGAAATCTTTGCTGTCAAAGATAATATAGTTGTCCTTTATAAATATTTACACTGGTGTATTATATAGCTAAGTTATAGAAACTAATGTTTCTAAGTAAGAGTCTTTAGTGCTGAAAGTGAGAGGTTTATTGCTTTGATTTCTTTTAGGATGGCAAATTGATTCCATTTTGGAGTAATTACTTTGACATTAAATAGGAACCAACTAAGTTTATTGATGTCTGAAACATTAGAATGATTGTAGTAAATTATTGATACAAACTGTACTCTTTTGTCCAATTTAATTGTTTCAGTTCAGTTTTTATAAGTGAAAACATGCCCCTTGTTTAGAAAACATCAATAATACATGTTTTTTTCTTTAAACAAAAGCTCATGTGGAAAGCATTGAGAATAACACATTTCCCTAGAACATCCAATGAGGGGGATAACAGGGAGAGAGGTCTGTTTTTATATAAGTTAATGATAGAAATACATGCAGTATTTTGCCTCTACTACATCCACCTTTCCTTTTTCACCATACATTTTGCCCTCTGACTCATGTCACTGGTGGTACACAAAGCTTTTTTGGGAGGTAAGATAATGAATTGAGATTCCATTCTGTGTATATGAACAATCTTTTACATAAAACAGAGTCATCTGAGTCATCCTTTCCCTAGATACTCTCTTGACTTAACATCAATTCAATGCATGGGATTTCTTGCTTCATATCAAATACAGAATCCTTCTTTGCACAGTCATGGGATCCATTAGTGGCTGAATGGGTACTTTATGAAGGAAACCACTCAGAAAAGATCAGCACAGTCTGTGGGATTGTAGGTGGACAGCTGCATTTTTTTATTAAGCCACTAGTAACGGTTAATAAAGATTTATAAAGCCCACTCAGTATGTGAAGTGAATCCATGAAGTTGCGTCTATTTGTTCTAAGTAGTCAGTCATAAAAAAAAAAAAGAAAGAAAACAGTGGTAAATGAAGCTTCCAGTGAGAAATATTGTTTCACTAAACCATGATTGACTGATTGAATGTGATTGAGGTTTACTATGAAATGTCACTTTTAAAGTATTTTTTTGGTTTAGTGGTTATTTTTATCTTGGAACTTATTTTCATTTAACTAACAAGCACAAAATATCAACATGGTAAACTGACATTTGGACACCTGTTTTGTCACAAAATTGGATATTGCGAAAGGTAGCAGTGTTCTTGCTTTTCCACCAACTTTTTTAAAAAAATCATATTTGTTTAAAAGCAGTCAGGTTTCCAAACAGTTTTTCATGCTTCATCTGAGTTTTTGAGTGCCTCGCTATCCCTGTGTGAAGCAAAGAAAAGCGAGACTGGGGCTTGATGAATGGTTGGATTTAGCACTGAATGCATGTGAAATGTGAAGAAAACTGCAATGTGGGTAAGGGTAATTGTATTAGTTTGTATCTATGCAAAACAGTTGAAGCAGTGTGAATTATATGCAGAAGTATAAGAGGCACTATTCCATCTTGCAAAACAAGCCTGCCGTAAGACTGATTGTAAACATACTCAAACCCTAAAATATTCTAGCGTATCTCTACTTTTAACAGTCATTTCACTGAAAGGCTGGTGTGAACCAAAATCCACTTTGATCACTACCCAAGGAGTACCTCTAGCTCTCTTGGTTTGTATCTTCCCAATTAGTCTTCCTGAATTCACAGCTTGGGTACATTCTTCTGAGACCCCCCGGCTGCGATACCAGAGGGACAAAGACCCATAACAAAGAACACAAGATTAAACATGGTGACAGATACTGCAAAGTACAGGATATTACTCCATAGCTCAGACTTTTTTACCCTGGTGGGCTGTGATCAACTGAAAACTCCTGC